TGAAGTAAGTTTGATAATCGAAGCTTACGGTTCGGGGTGGGAAGAATTCCCGTGCCCGAGTGAGCAATGGGGATATTTTTTCCGTCCCCGATGAAGATACCGTCGGTTCCCAGGTATGGAGTGGATTGACATAGGTTGTCGCTAGCATTTGTCATGTGCGAGGAAGTCCTGGAGTCTAGGTACCAATCTTGAGATGAAACTTTGGAGTTCGCCATTAGAGCGTTGTTCTGCTTAGATGTAGTCGTCTGTGAGGTATAGTTGGCGTTCATCCTGTGCCAGCATACATCGGCCGTATGACCCTTCTTGGAGCAGATTTGGCAAATGGGAGCCTGCTGCGGTTGCCCTGAGCGAGAATTCGAGTTCTGGGCTGGCGTAGGACGGCCTCTGGACTTGCGGCCGCGGCCCCTGCTTGTATATAGGGCGGCTTGTTGCAGCGTATCAGTGGAGAAGCGGGCAGCATCGGCGTTGACGTGGATCTCTTCGCTTATTAACATTGCGTAGAGATTTTCAAGTCGAATGGGGAGTGGAGAATTACGGACATATGTCTTGAATGATTGATATGCCGGAGGTAGCCCGTTAAAGCTATGCAAGATAATGTCTTCATAGTCAATGGAGGAGCCGGTTGAGGCTATTTGATCGACGAGTTTCTTGATCTCGGTCAGGTACTGGATCATAGAGAGATTTTTCATAGACACATGATGAAGCTCATTTTTGAGCTGAATCACCTTAGACCGACTTGTTGCTTGGAATTGGCTTTCAAGAACTTGCCATATGTCTTAAGTCGTATCAAGATGGATGATGTAGGGCAACACCGTTGGAGAGATAGTAGAGCAGAGAGCCGCTTGAAGGTTCTGATCTGTAATGCGCCAGTTCTTGATGGAGGATTCCGTCGATGGGTCAGACACTTCACCGGAATGAGTAGGCGAAGTCAGAAATTGTTCAAAGTCATTGGCACGGAGAAGCTTGAGGATCTGGTGGCGCCAAATCGGATAGTTGTCGGATCATAGTTGATTCGGAACGAGAGTCTTGAGATTGGACACGACGAATTTGAGAGAATGAGAGATTGGAGAGTTTTCGATCGGATTTGCGGGTGGCTGCTCGGTGGCGGAGGAGGAGGCCGAGTGGGAGGTCGTCATGATTGAGAAGAAGAGGATACTAAAGGCCTTATACCATGTAGAAACGGTACAGCCGGAACGTCGGCCAAGAAGCTTGGCCGGAGACGGAGAAGACGAGTCAAGAATGGAAGAAATAATATTGTATTATTATCCCGACTTTAGTGAGTACAGGGTCCAGTATATATAGGTAAGTAGGAAGCAGTAGTTGTACACGTGTAAGCAACCTATTGGTTACAAGGGAGATATTACAACCTAAGGCTAAGCTGCTATCCTAATAGAGTCGATTGTTCTTTTTAGAGGAGGAGAGAACATATGATTAGTAAAGCTAATGTTATGCTTGGTTGATAAAAAAATGTCAAATTTTAGTAAGCGTGTATATTCATGAATGTCTGATATCTAATGTGTTGATGATAAGTGCAAACATTGGTAAACATTAGTCATTTAATCAAGAGGACAATGGGTGTTGACATTGGTTGATGATCAAAGTTCGATGACTTTGATAACTATTGCCATTAGCCAATGATCAAGGTATTGAGATGTAAACAAAATTTTACAACATTATTCAATTACTAGTATTTCACATTGGTGACGATGAATGTTAATATCGGTCAATGGCTAATATCAAGCTAGTATTTATAAGCAAAACTATAGATTTCTCTATTCTCGCAAAATCTCTCCTTTAATAATTCACCATGCATGAATTAGTAGAAACATAACCTATTGAATTTTTTTGGAGTGGATATCCCAATCATTTTCTAATTAGAATTAGAACACTCTAGTGAATTATCTAAATTTATTCATCTTGATAACGAAATATCTTTTTAGTATCTCCATGTTTTATTAAACTCAAAATTGTAAGATCCTCAATCATTTTGCTGATGCTCATCAATGATATAATCATGCAAAATTTGGAGGATATTGGACCACTCAAATGGAGTCAAATTGCTTTTAATTATGTTTATAATTCTTGATTTGTGCATATTTGAACTCAAATCAAGTTGTTCTTGATATTGTTAAGTTCATCTCATTAAAGTGTATTATCTTGAATATAACTTTATAAAAAATGATATTTGTGTGATCTTGAATTCAATTATAAATATATATCATAAAATATTTGAGTGTTTTGATATATGAAAAATTGTATCAAAATATGTGCTTAATCATGAAGATTTTATGATGATGTATCAAAAATTAAATTTAAAATTGTATGAAAATTTTAAATGATAAAAAATAATAGTAAATTTTAACTTAATTTATCATATTAATTAAGAATGGAATACAATATGACATATAAATAAGAGTAAATACTAAATTGATTATTGATATGACGAATGTTATTTTTTTTTTATTACTTTAAGATTATAAAATGTGTTATAGCATTGAGAGATACTTATTTCAAAATAAAACTCTTTTGTCATGTTTGAATATTTCTTAAAATAATTCTTTCATTTTATTACTTAATAATATTCCTATTTAGGAAGAAGTGAAAACATGAAGCTCACTCAATAAAGGGTTGATTTGTCATCATTTTTAAGAAATTAAATTAACATAAATGATTATTTTTATTTGATTGACTCTAAATTAAATTTTAAATCCCCAAATAACACAAAATAAAATATATTTATTAAAAAATAAAAAAAGTTAACATGCTGACGATGGCATGGAAGGCATAAACATAATGTGGTACATCATGGAAGATTAGGATCAATCAATGGCATTGCACATAGATATTAACAGACGTAATTTCAAGTCAAATAACAAAAGGCAATATTACAGTCGCCATGTAGAGCTCGTGATATTTAGGTTTTTTTTAAAGCACAAATATAACTTTTTAAGATATTACTCCTTTATACAATTATGTTACACCAATTTATTTTATATAAAAGATATAAACAATATTGACTCATATATTCATTTTATATAACATCCCTTCTATTTCAATCAAACAATTGCTTAAAAAACTTGAATTAGCTAATGCATACCGTGTAGGTTTGCATTTTGGGACTTTGGACTTTGAGATCAACAGTTCCAACCAAATAAAGTTCCTATTGATATAATGACATGCTTACAGAATTATTATCTGTCACTTCAATGGTCATCATTGATGTCAAAGCATCTTACAAAATAAGTTTTTGGTTCGTCTTTGGGTTCAATTAAAAACTGACATGCTTTCAATTGCTCTTACTCGAACCAGATCAGATTAGAAAAACGGGTAAGGAATTTGTATTTGAATCCCACTCATTAACTTGCGGGTGCGTGTAGGGTGCAAGCGCAAGCAGGGGCAAGGCATGTGAGCACGGGGCAGGGGCTTTGGCGGCATGATGTGGGACAGGGACTTATATCAGTTTTGCGTGGCTTTGGTGTTGACTTGAGCCCGACCTCAAATTAGAAACGGGACAAAACATGAAACATGTACTGACCCATTTTCTAAATGGGCCGACCCGAATCAAAAAATTTTTGTTCTGATTTGTGTCAAATATTAGTGTCTCTAGCAAAAATTATGATTAGCTATTCTTGTAATTAATGAATGATTTTTTTTTTTGGGTGCGCGCACTATTGATGCTTCTAGCTTTGAAATTATGCTTGGCTTCTTGCAATGATTGCCATTTTCTAATAAAAATGTTATTTAAGCAAGTGATGATATTTGTCTTATTTTATAACTTTTGCTAAGGGTCCCATTAGAAGACCGACATGAAGCTTCGTAGAGTCCTATTTGAATTTTGTTTCATTTTCTTATAGACTCGTTTAACATAATCTCTGTTAGGTACCATCATCATTGGTTCTTAGAATTTATATCATAAATATTATAATAAAAAAATAAATTATAGAGTTCTTGTTGAGATTGTAAAATAGAGTACAAATTTGGAATCTCAAAAAAAAAAAAAAAAATGTTAAAATGATTTCATAGATAAAAAAAAACCCCTCACATTTTATAAATTTGAAAAATAGAAATAATCAATTTGTAGCAAAGATTCTGATAAAGCATAATCATTAAACATGTTCATGATGTTTAATAACTGACTTCACGTAGACACGTAGTGGGATAAATACTTGATGTTTTGTTGTTAAATTTTTTTATAAAATCCCTTAATCAAACTTGAATTGATCCAGGTTTCAGATCAACTGGATTTGAGCTTATTAGGTTCACTTGGTATCTTTAGCACAAGCCCGATGAGCTCGGATAATTTAAATATTCTATTGTATGATCATATAATATCTTAAATTTTGATTATTTATAAAATAAATGAAAATAACATATAATATCTTAATTTTTTTATTATTTACAAAATCAATATCCACCCACCTCTATTTAGAATGCAACCATTTAAATCCTAAATATCACACTGAAATAACAACTCTTTGTTTTTTTCCTTTATTAATTTCTAAATTAATTAACTACGACACATATAAATATACGAATCAATTTCTTATGCAGAATTTTAGTTTGACAAATAATTAAATTTGAGATAGAATATATAATCTAAATTATCATGTACATATATAAATATCCTATTAATTCCTAAGGCATTATGCCCTTCAAACAGAGTTACAAACAGTAAAACTAACTTCTATTTGCCGTTATTTAACGAATAAAGTTTGACATACCATTTTTTATTGCTCTTTAAAGCATTTTTAAATAACAAAATTTTTTTATCTAAAAATTTTTGTACCGAAAAATTACTTTAAAAAATAATAAAACAATTATCCAAATGAAGCCTAACTCGGCTAAACTCTTACCTATGAAAATGAACTTAGTTTAATGCTCCATTTGGCACAATTTTGGACAACTATTTTTCTTTACTTTCAAAAATTTTTATATTAAAAAATAACTTTACAAATCAGTACAAAAGCCGTCTCAAATGAAACCAAATGTTTCGTTTGAGACAGCTTACTTAGTACATCTTACAACAATTTTTTAATACAATTTTCTTTTTTAACTAAAAAATTATTTTAATAAGTAATCAGAAAGCCGTCCCAAACTAAACCTATCTGTGACAAACGTTTTATGCATAAATACATAATGAAGCAGTAAAATCAGATGCACCGCCCAAGAGGGCTGTAATAATAGGTTGGCAATGACCGCTCTCCATCTTTCCGGCGAGGTAGCAGAGCATGAGGCCAATATCAAGCAATCAGGCATGGCAAACAACCTCGTCATCTTCCTTTGTTTCCGTATTATTATCCCTGTAGACATACCACTTAGCCGACACCAAAAATATTACCAAATTAATGGCGCTCAGCACCGCCAGCAACCAATAAAAGTTGTACAGCCTTCCCTTATTCAGATCATCTGTCAGCCACGCGCCGTGGCCGCTCACTCCTCTCACCGTGTGCACAATCGACACCAGCGCCGAGCTCACGAAGAACCCCAGCGACAATGTGCTTAGAAACAGCCCCGTGCTCATCGTCTTCATCCCCTTCGGACACTCTCGGAGGAAAAAATCCAGTTGGCCAATGTAGGCGAAAGCCTCGCCGGAGCCCACGAAGAAGAATTGCGGGACGAGCCAGAACACGCTGAGAGATTGGGCTGAGTTGGCGGAGCGCAGGCGCTTGAGTTCTGTCAGAGCAGCGGCTACCATGGCGAGAATGGAGAGGGAGAGGCCAACGCCGATTCGGCGAAGAGGGGAGAGGCCTTGGGGGTTGCCGGTGAGGCGGCGGAGGAGGGGGATGAGTAGGCGGTCGTAGACGGGGACGGTGAGGAGGATGGAGCCGACGAAGAAGACGGTGAGTGAGCCGGCGGGAATTTGGAAGGAAGGGCCGATGTGGCGATCCATGGTGGTGGCTTGAGAGACAGAGAAGGTTGTCATTTGGGCGTAGACTGTCCAGAACATGATAGTGGTTGCCCAGATGGGAAGCATTCGGATTACCATTTTTACTTCTTCTACGTCTGTTACGGTTGATAATTGCCACCGGCTCGGTTTCTTGGCCGGCGCCGGCGATCTACTTTCGATGATGGCGGCTCGGTCCAGGAATCTGCAATATTTCGGATCGATTAATACCCGTCGGAATTGATTTAAGAGTAATAATCTTTTAAGTTTTCACAAACTCGTTCAATCAAAATATATATTTTGGCTTAACAACATCTAATATTTATATATCGTAAACTGATATAAATTGAATCACAAACTCCATGAAGTTTCTCTGATCTGCAGGCTCTGCTCATTGAATAAGCACAATAATAAAGATTAATTTTATTAGTTAAATAAGGTTTACTCTTAATTTAAGTGATTAAGATTTCATTTGAGGCAGCTTTTTTATTGCTTTCTAAAACAACTTTATAGTACAAAATTTCATGAATTAGAAATTTATTATTAGAAAACCATTTAAAAAAATAGCTAGCAAAAATACTGCCCAAAACGAAACCTAAAAACGTTTTTTTCTTCACATATAAATAAATGAACATATTTTAAACATTTTTTGTTATAATTTTGAATATGTTGCCCGATCACTTTCTTGCTACATATATGTTGATTTTAGGAATTTTTTTAAAGAAAAAAAATTCCACATGCTTATATCTCTTTGTAGAGCCTTGCATTGGGTATTCATATCCACACACATCCATGTACCCCAATATGTATGAGTGGATATGGGTATGCCTATGATCTTGTGGATGTGTATGAGTAGGTACTCAACATCGAGGGATAAACCAATTTACATTACTAATAACTGTATAACTTATATTACTGCAATCCTTACTACGTAGTGTGCAACACTTAATCACACTGCGACTACAATAAATTCTGATATGCAGCTTGAAAGTTTGCAATCAGAGCAAAAGGCAACAAGCCTCAAGGCCATCAGTCCGTGGAAGACTGTGTTCAAAAAACATGAAAAGTGGATGAGTATAGGTGGGTACAACATCCCGAAAGTCATCGTGGGTGGGCGCAAAGCCCGTCCGAATAAAGCATGGGTAGCCAATGGGTACCCAACTAGGACCCATATAGATCTTTCTCTTGGTCAAAATCCACATGATATGAATGAGTTAATCCTTCAAAAATTATTTCAGGAAAATAAATAGTATCAGCTTAAGAAAAAATTTCTGTGCGAGCATTGCGCCATACCTACTCCTAATTTTCTTAAAGAAACCAATCAATGGGCGGTTCCGTGACACTTATCTTTTTGTGATTGCGAACGAGTGGGTGGATCTCATTTTTAAAACCGTGCAAGCAATCAATGGGTTTTCCCTCTTCCTGCCAATTTCGTCCGTAAGTCGCATTTAACATAATTTTCTATAAAATCCAGCGCAGCTCATTTGACTTTTGTTGTTGATTGGGCAAAGCTTTTACCTCGAACCGTACTCTTTTAACTACTGGACCATGAATAATATTGAATTGAGAGAGAGGGGCACTGAGTCTGAATAAGACACCAAGGAAAAAGATGAAATTCACGGAATTCAGGCGAGGTGAGGTCTTATCCGTGTAGATTTAATGAAGTAGGAATGCGACTACCACTTGGACTTCTGCTTCGCTTACGAAGGAAATGGTGAAAAAAATTTGTTATTTTTTTGTTCTCTCAACTTTATGTAGCTTAAGATTTCATTTTGAGACACAGAATTTTGGAGAAAAGAATGCAAATTTTGAAACTACTTTCCTATTATTGTACCTCTTTTATTGATGTCATGTGACTGAACAGGCTATCGATCTGCTACTCACTCTTTTGCTTGATATGCTTCTCAATCTTTTCTAATTCTATAATTTATGATTAAACTATTTATATATGATACTTAAAAATAAGATTAAAAAAATATGAACCTAAAAGGATAAATTAGGAACGCATTGATAGGGTATGTATGGGACGACTACAGTTTCTTATGAAATTGGTTACTACTTCGATTGTAAAAAAAAAAAAAATTACTAAAAAAATTTCTTAAAAGTTATGAGAAAACAATAAGAAAGCAAGAGCCAAATAAAAATTTAATTGCAATTTAAAAAGCAAAGCATAAAAAAAATTGTCCTACATAGACCCTTAGTGAGGGGAAATTATTACGTCCGATCACCTGATATAGTCTCTGTTTACAATAAAGCGCAGTGAAAGCGCAAGTGCTATAGTAACTACGCTTTTATTGTAGACAGAGACAAATCCGGATGTATCTCTGTATCAGGTGATCGGACATAATAATTTGCTCTTAGTGAGAATATATCATTTCAATATTGCCTTGACAAATGGCAGAACAGTGGTAATGCTAGCATAGTAGTATTCGGTGCGTTTAATTAAGTAGTGTATGAGCCTTCTTTTTGCATGTAATAAAATAATTTATGCCTCGAATATATATCATAATTATAGGTATTTGTATAAATCTTGGAATATATATCTTTTTAAGAATATAATTCAAAATCTTGATTAAAAAGGGTAATAGTTTATCTAATTTTACAATAAGAACTTATCCAACCTTATGCTAGAATTGGGAATACCGGAATACTATGAATATTTCTCTTAAACTTAGCAAATTTTAAAAATAATATCAGTTCAATATTCCATAAAAATATTTGCAATAATAACGAGGCTTATAACAAATTCTAGTAATATTTTCATAGTAAACAATTTTTTAAGAAACCCTGATATAAGATTAAAATTAGTTATCATGATTTACAAGGTAAATAAATTATTTATTTATTGTTTGCAAAACTTTAAATTTTATTTTAATTTTTGTAAGAAAATAAAATACCCATTAATTTTATAAATATGATGGTGGTATAAAAAAAATCCGGATGGTCGATAGGCTTCGCCGATAGAAATTCTTAGGCAGAAAGAGAAGTGGGCTGAGAGATCGTACTGAAATTGGTTGGTGAGGGCAAGCCTCTGCTTGGCCTTGTTCTTCTGAGCGCCTTCCTCATTTACATCATAGTCGTCAATGTCGTCTAATAGAGAAGGGTCCGATGGTTGCTGAAGGTTTCTTTTCCGAAAGGCGGCCGTGAACACGGCGGCGATCTGAGTAAGAGGGCTCCCTACAAGATTCTTGTAGCGGTACCGGGTGGTTCCGGCAAGGAAGACGGCTAAGCCACTGAGTATAGCAGCGGCACAGATGCTGTAACCCCACTTTCGCCCAACGTTATCCTGGATATAGACGAGCACGGTGACGGCCAGGAGGGATCCGATGCTGATGAAGAAGAAGAACCAGTTGAAGAATCGCGTCATCTGCTTGCGCTCCGTACGATCTGATTCGTCAAACTGGTCAGACCCGAAACCCGACACGCTCGATTTGAGCCCGCCGGTCCCAAGCGCCGTGAGGTACAACCCTAGGTATAGCACCCCCAATTGCCCCCCCGTAGCCCGGACGCAGCTGGTCGTCGCAAGATCTCGACACGGAGGCGGACGCAGCCCCGATACCGCCGTCGATACCGTTAAAACCATCACCCCCTTCACCGAAATTACCCATTAGTACCGGACTCCGGTTTTGTTCACAAATTTTGAGGTTGATTGATACTGTACTTACAGAAGCTTGGACCGCAGCGAAGATACCGATGGTGAGGTACCTGCCGATGAACGTGTCGGCGACGAAGCCACCGAGAAGGCAAAGCATGAATGAGGTGCCGAGGAAGTTGGTGACAGTGTTGGCGGCGGCGGCATTGCCGAGATGCATCGTATCAGTCAGGTAGGTCACCAGGTTCACCGCGATTCCAAGCGTTGTCAATCTCTCGCAGAGCTCTACCCCTGAATCGATTCAGATCCATAGAAATCGGTTAAAAAACTAAAAGGAAGTGAAGCGAGATTGAGAGATCTAAGGTTTAGGACCTAGAATCATGGCGGCGCTTGTCCAGCCGCCAGTCTGGGACCGGACGGCAGGGCGGCCCTTGAAGTCCCTAGCGTCGTTGAGGTTCTCATTTATTGCTTCTTTCTCCGGCGGCGAGCACATTTTCTCCTGCCTGATTTATGATTTTGTTTCTGAGAACAGAGCGCAGCAGATGAAGAAGAGGCAAGGTGACTGGCGGGGAACAGGGAGGGGTTTATATAGTGGGCCGGAAGGGGTAGTTTGGTCTAGCTCAAACAATTGATGGGCATCGAGCACGCTGGGTTTCCTGGAAGCTCAAAACCACGACGCCTGTGGGCTTATGGCCTCTACAGTTTATCTCCAGTTGACCATTACGATTATTTAATGCAATTTGAATTATTTAAAATATAAATTTAAATTCACTAAAATTGAAATAATTTTAAAAAATTAAATATTTTAATTCAGATCCTATGCCACTAAAGATCTATTTGGGATGCATGGAGCAACAATTTTTTTAAAGTTTATTTTTAAGCTGTTATTAGGAAAATAATTTAGATATTCTAATTATAAAAATAATTTTTTTTTATCATAAAAATTTCTAAAAAAAATGAAAAAATAAAGAATAATAAAAGGTGTCCTAAACAGACTCTTAAATTAATATAATAAATGTACCTCCTTTAGGTTGAATACCACATATGTAATTCACTTTGCAATCACTCCTAAGTTGGAGAAAGTAGCAAAAATAAAAATTGAGAAAATTACAAATAATAATTTTGTGTTTTTCAATTCTAAAACCCAATTCAATTGTTATAATAAAAGGCTATATTGTTTTTTAATGGTCTATTATTATTTTTGCAAAAATGAAAATTTAGGGGCTATTTTGGAAAAAATTATTACGTGCGGTGTCAGAACGCATCTGGAGGTTAATCCGAACAAGTTATGTCACCCAAGACATTGTACATCGGATGACATGGCGTGTTCGAATTGGCCTTCGAACACGCTCAGACACTGCACAAAATAATTTCTCTTATTTTGGATAGTTTTTTTGTTGCTTTTCTTCTAAGATAGTAACCACAATTTTGTTTGACAACTCTCTTGATGTTTTTAAAAATTTTTTGATAAAAATTTGCTTTTAATAATCAAAATAGTTAAGTTTTTTTTCACCACAGTAATTTTACAATCAATTTATAAAAAGTTACAGCCATCCAAGATAGAGCCTTAATTTATAAATTTTAAAAATAAATTCTACATATTGTTCTCCATATCCTTTTTTTTATTCAAGTTATAAAAATCTTCATGTTTGGTGAAGGAGCAGAAATAGTTGGCCAGCTTCAATGATATAATAACAATCATTTAGACAACATTGAAGGGGCATAAAGTTACGATGATATTTTCCCTTTTAGGTCTTTATAATGACATCATCTAGGGGTGTCAATATTAGATCGATCAAAAAATCTGACTTGAAAATTTCGGGTTTGGGTTGACCCAGATTCGAAGCAAGTCGGGTTCGGGTTCAACAATTCGACCCATTTAAAAAATCGGCTCGGGTTCTGATTGACCATTTGACCCGAAATTGACCTGTTTTGACTCGACAATCCGAGATTGACCCGTTTTTACTCGAAAAGCGGAAATTGACCCGTTCTTGAAGTTTTTTTTTTTTTTTTGCACTGGGTCATTTGGGTCTAAAATGATCATTCATTATATAGGGATGTAGCTGGTCGTTTTATAATCTTCTTAGTGCTTCTTATTTGTAAATAATTGCGCTCATGAATAGCTTGAATTTAGGATTTTTTTTGGGACCTCTTTTTTATTGCTTATTAAAATAATTTTTAATATAATTTTTTTAAATTAAAATTTTTGTATTAAAAAGTGCTTTAGAAAGTAATAAAAAAGACATCCCTAATGAAATATTAGGCTTTGTTTGGGACAACTTTCTTACTGCTTTTTAAAACAAATATTTTAAATTTTTACTAAGCTTTAAAAAACATAAAAAAAGTCATCCAAAGGAAGTTTTAGTTTTATTAATACTTATTTGAGTTTATTCAAATTAAAACAAATTTGAAGCCTTTTTGAGAACTTGTAAGCTAAATGAATCACGATTGAATATTGTCAAAGTCTTTTATTTGTCTTCACGTGTAATATTGTCTGTTGATTTATAAGTAATTTGTTAATATTTGACAATAAGGTCGAGGACAAATTTTAAGAGGGAGCATGAAATAAAATAATATAGAAAAAAAAAAAGAATATAATTTAAGTAAAATTTAGCAAGAAGCATAAATATCAATATATTTTGTTTTTTTTTTATTTTTTTTTTTGCATTTTCTTTTGAAATGCAAAATATTTTTTTATAATAAATTTAGCAAAATATTTTCGTTAATTTTTTTATTTCCTTAATAATTTTTTTTTGTTAAATTTATCATATTTTTATTATTTAATTTTAATTATGTATTTTTTAAAATAATTTCATA